CATCCTACGACATCAGGAACCAATCCTGGGACTTGATAAACTGTAAGATGATAGTATCATTCACCAACACGAGACTAGCGGGGGACCCGTACCTTCTTAGGTGGTTGGCGGTTTTACGTCAGATGACGTGATCGACTCGTGGACAATCATAACTTTTCAAAATTGATAAGAACAGAACATGATAAGGACATACAATATTTATAAAAAATATTTTTACTACAAAATTGATACAATTTCTTTTTGTATGTCTGAAATCCATGTGCATGCTAAAATATAAACTTTAAATATATTGTAACTTGATTGTCCACTTGTTGATTACCAGTACCGGGCTAAGGAGTACCCTCCTAAGTTACGTTTTAGTAGACACCCTTCTAGTTGAGTGACAAACTCTATACATCCGGGTGACCGATAGTAGCCTTCAATGTCTCTCGAGTACAAATATATAATATCTGAGCCAAGTCCTGACCCGAGTGCTTGCGGTTTTCTTTCTTCAGATTTTTCATGTGATTTTATTCGAACTTTTGATAAAGCACTTGAGGTCTTTTTCCGGGATCTTACTGTTTCTTTTAAACTCTGTCATTATACTTTTCTTTCTTCAGATAGTAGCCTTAAACTCTGTCATTATACTTGTACTTGCTACTGTTTCTTTTACACACTATACCTTAATAAGAAGCCAATAGTTGGTTTTATAGGAGGTACCCGACAACAGATCGTTGACTAAACAATTGCATGTACCTTTAAAATTAACATCGAATTCGAAGGAGCTACGACGAAGAGCTTGGAGCCAACACCGTAGGCAACAGGAAGAGGACACATAGAAGAACAACTTTGAGGTGGATCTACAATATCAAAACAAGTTCACGTCAACTAAACATTTTTCCTTAGTTTAAATAACAACCCATAGGACTTCGAGGTGGTTTGCTTAGCACAACGTAAATCCTCACATTACCTTCAAGCTTTTGCACAACTCTGTTGTGCAATTATAAGTCTTAACACTTTTTAGGATTCTGAGGTTACCGTACGGTACGTTGTAGATCCTCCGATCTTTTTTAGACTATTTACATGGTCGGATATCGTGTGAATGTAAGTCCTAAATTCTAAAATAAATTGCAGGATTAAACATTAAATAACATAATTTCAAAGACATAAAACCAAACAATAGGATAATTGGGAAGTCATCAGGGTTTTTCTTGGATCTGTGATATCCCCTATTCTTCATTCCTTTGGATTCCTTAAAATAACTGTTCCTATTTGAGCCACTCCCATTTGATTTTCTCGTGTCCAATCTTGGAAACCTAAACTTTGAAATCTTGAAAGCAAAATCACTGATCTTAATCGAGAGTTTTCTTAAGTAACCCCGGTCATTTAAGATGTAATTAACTATAGTGGTTTGCCTCTATACAGAACCTGGAACCGAGATAAAATAAATACTATTTAATCCTTATATTAGATAGGGGAACTTGTAGGTCATACATAAAAATTTTTTCGCAGACCAAACTGATGTCACAAACTCTTTAGTTTAGGTGGTTGAGCCTATTGTCAAGTGATATGCTTATCCTTCGGGATAGTGTATTACTTGTGGTATCGCGCTCAGCCATCCAAATTATTCAATATGCGAGACTCGTTTGGTCCCATATATTTTTAAAATTAAAATGTTACTTTCAAAAATCATATTTATATTAAAACTATTTTCATATTGACAAAAAAATCATTCATTCCCTTTTCCAAAAATAACGGCCGACAAGGCTGTCCATCCAAAAATTTTTGGATCTAAAGTGGAAAAAGCTTGATTCTTAAGAAAGAATGATCTCAAGATGGCTAAAGGAGTACGAAAGATGTGAAATTTTTAAAGAACTCTGTTGATGAGATAAGTGGCGGTAAAATTGACATTATTTTAAAAATATTTTGGGACATTAAATTGAAACATAATGGAGTGTGTAACGTCAATGAGATGTTGGTTTTTTTCTCTAAACTATCTTATTTTATTGAGTGTCGGTACATGAGCTATGATATAAGGCGTCCTTACTTACCAAGAATTCTCTGAATATACAGTTAAAAAATTTACGACTATTGTTAGACCGAAGGATTTGAATAGGTGTTTTAAATTGGGTAAAAAAGGTGTGGAAGTATTTGAAAATGATAACAACTTCAGATTTATCTTTTAAAATATTTAACTACGTCATCTGAGTGTGGTCATCAATCAAAGTAAGAAACCATCATTTATTGGTGTAGCTGAGAGCCCCGTAAATCACTGTGAATAAGAGAGAAGGGGTGGAAGGCATGCAATTGTGGGGTGGATAAGGAACTCGATGTTGTTTATCTAACTGAAAATTTTCATATTTGAAATTAGAAGAATTTTTACTTGTTAATATCAACAGAAACAAATATTTTAGATATTGAAAACTAGGATGACCCAAACGATCGTGTAACAACATAATAAGACATACAGTGGACTGAGATAAACTGTATCATCCTCCCCCAACGACGATTCTGAAAGACACATACATCAGAGGAAAAATGAGCAATACAATTAATATCACATGTCAACTTACTGAAAGATAAAATATCACACTTCAGTAGGGGTATATGTAACACAAATTCCAGAGTTAGATCAGTTGTTAAAACAACAGATTCTTTACCAACAATAAAATTTTGAGACCCGTCAACAATTTTAACGTATCCTTCCCTGAGCAAGGATAATATGTCGCGAAAACTTGAGAGTTTCCAGTCATGTAGTCATTAGTACCTGAATCAATGATCTATGAACTAGAAAATAAAAAAATAAGTGAGTGTAATATAATTGGTACCTTGACAAACGCAGGAAGTTGATGGGTCGTAAAAGAGCAGACTTTATTCAAGTAGCTTGATTAAGTGCTCCATTTGACTTCTAATAGAATTGGAGGATTCCAAATTGTTTTGGGTAGAGGCCGACTGCACCGTGTTGGATTTTGATGCCGTAGCAAAACACGTAGTAGTGGAAGATTTGGCTGAAAGTTTGGATGTAGGTTTCTTGTGGAGCTTCCAACACTTATCACGAGTGTGGGTGGACTTGTGACAATAATCACAAGTGGGGAGACCAACCCGGGGTTGAGAACTATTGGCGGATGCTTCGATCGACGAAGTAGAAGCACCAAACATGACAAGTTTTCTACTCTTTTCACGACGAATCTCAGTGAAAGCATGACGATGCTAAGGAAGAGGATCCCGACCAATGATACATCTTTGGAATTTGTTATGATCTTTGTTGAGGCCTACCAAGACTTAGAACATGCGTTCATTTTCTACAATTTTATGGAAGAGAGATAGATTTGCGAGAGATTCCCAAGTGTAGTCATAGTATGGGTCACATTCCATCCATAATGCAACTAGGTCATTGTAGTATTGTATCACGTTCCTAGATTCTTGTTTTGTCTCATGAATTTACTTAGACACCTCATAGAGTTGGTTGGAATTCCCTACATTCGAGTAGGCATCACAGATTTTCTTTCAGAGGGCACCATCGAAAGGGATGAACATATATGATCGACCAATCGAAGTCTCATTGGAGTTGATTAGCCGCGACATGTCCATGAAATTCTCTACTTTCCAAGCTCCATATGCTGTGTCAGTCTTTCGAGGTTCATAAATCATACTAGTGAGATGACTGAATTTCTCACAACTTTTGATGAACAAAGAAACAAATTGAGACCATTGGAGAAAGTTAGAGTCGTTCAATTTATGAGTTGTGATCAAGAAGTTCGTTTTGTTTTCCAATCTGCAGAGGAATTGATGTTGGTTTCGATCCTCTGGTGGATTCAAGTACATTGTCGAAAGGTGGCTCCATGGTAAAGGAGTCCACTATAATTCCAATTGAGCCAAAGGACATGTTGGGATTGCAAGATAGGGAAATATTCTGGCTGCAAGTGGGAGAGTTTGTGCCTGAAAGGATCCTCCTGAAAGTTGAATCAAACGACTAGCCGCTAGAGGAAGAACCAATCGCTGTAGAGGAAGACGTGATTGACTCAAGGAAGACGCCGCGTGGCACTACTTCGAGCAACTAATCAACGCCATCGACTTCTGTTACAGCTGCGGTGTCCTGCAGAGGAAGTCCTCCGGTCTGTTGAGGATGTCCTAGCCGCTGGAGGAAGAACCTGTGCCTCAACTGAGGATTTGGATCAAACGGCTGGAGGGAGATCTATCAGCCGATGACTGGGGAGAGACCCGACAACCAGGTTAGAACCTAGCTCCGATACCATGTTAACTTTGAGAATGAAATCAGGGTATATCTTATTTTGATGCAAAGAGCGGTATAAATACTTATTACAAGATCAACTAGTAAGGAAATAAATAAAACCGAGATAATGGGAAAAAGGAAAGTAAATAAAAGCAAATCAAAACAATTAATATAGAAATCTGTATATTAATATTCTAATTTTTTAATATATATATATGTGTGTGTGTGTGTGTGTGTGGATTCCCCTTTAATATTTTCAACATTATTATCACTGCGTTTCAAGTTATCAAAACACTTTTTTATACTCTATGGTTACTGATTAATCATCACTGCGCTTTCAGTAGGTGTAGCAGCACTTCAGTTTGGTTTCTTGCAAATATCATTCGAGAAAATGGATTTCTGGAATTGTTTTATTTCACAAAAGTACTTTGAAAATTTTGATCGCCATACTTCTTTCAACTTTACCTCTGTTCGATGCCAAATTATAAGATCACCTGCTTTTTGAGCAATCAAATCATTTTTTCTAATCTACGGTTATTGAGAGTAATTGCACACACAATCATGTCACATAAAAGCACCAATAAAATGAGTAGATAGGTTAATGTGTAAGGACTTAAAATAAATGAGAAGTATAGCACATGTAACATTGTCTTAGTTTATGCACATGATTTGTGCAAGATAGATTAAAACTTCACGTAACACTGAACGAAAAACAAAAGAAGAATTAGAATTCATAAAACTGATCCAAAATAGTTGGAAAAGGGCTGTTAATTATGGCAATTTCCAGGTTATCTCAGGCATTGAATCAGCTGTAAAGACGATGAAAGTTGGAGGCATTCGCCGTGTCATCATTCCGCCATCGCAGGGATATCAGAACACATCACAGGAACCCATTCCTCCAAATGTATGCATTATGTTTCTTATGATCATTTCTTCTCAATTTACAGGACATCAGATGCACCATCTCATATATAGTGGGATTTACATACATGCCACACAATTCTTATGTATTTACCTATTTCAAACATAAATTATCATATTTACTTGAAAGTGAAATGCACATTTTTATGCATAGGTTAATGGCATCAAAGTTTTGTAAGTGTTAAGAATCAAACTTTAGTTATTAGATATATAAATACATAAAAATTGTGCGTATGTATGTAAATTTCCCTGTTATATATTGCCCTAAAATCTTTTTCTTTTTTTACAGTTCTTTGATAGGCAGAGGTTGTACACGACGATCTTCAATCCAACCCGTCTTGCCAACGGAGAAGGTTCCACACTCGGCACGCTCATCTTCGATATTGAACTCGTCAGCCTGAGCTCTTCCTGAAATCTATTCCTGTGCTGTCTTTTCTTTGCTGAAGTTATTTCTTCTATCCATGATTTTTGACAGGTTCCAATTTGTTGTTTGATAATGCAATTTTAAGCATTATTCCAATGTTTTGGTGTCCATTTGTGAATCTCAGTGTATATAATAAAAGTTTGAGCTTGTATGTGGACATAGAATTTGATATTTCATCCGCAAGTCTTTTTGCTTTTTTTGGTTTGAAGATAGTAATATGGTGGGGATTTACATACATGTCACATAATTCCTATCCTTTTACATATCAAGTGTAATGTTCAATTCTTTAGCATCACATCAAAAAGACCCGTAATATTAACTTTCTTGAGTTGTTTGGGGCAGTTAATCCACTGCGGCAGTATTTTGAAAACGTCATCTCACTGTTTGAAAACTGTGTTTGAACAGCTTATCCGAAAACACAATTGATTTTTTACAGTAAAAGTCGAACGCGGGCGGTCTGCGTTTCCAAATAAGCAGCTTATTGGATAAACACAAGTTATCACAAACACACCTTATCTTGTCATATATATATATATATATATTTTGGTGCAGTCTTATCTTGTTTGAGTTCTTAACAAACTCTACATTTGTAAGTAACCCAGATCTCATTCACATTTTATGAAGTTTTTTATGACAGATATGAGTGATTTGAGGAGTACTCTTATGGCTTCGACGGTTCTTGAAGAATTAACTAGCACACATTCTTCTTCCATTCCGGACCATCGGGACTAGCTAGTAGTGTTTGGATCAAGGTAAATATGGATGGTACGCTTCTATCCAACCACTGCACCGGCACGGGCGCTGTTCTTCTGGACGAGACCAAGGAGCTCGTTTGTGCCATGGGATAACAACTACAACATCGAGATGATGGATTTGTGGAACTTTAAGCTTACCTCTCCATTGTAGATATCATGCAACCTTGGATGTTGGAAGCCAGCAACATTATGGTGGAAGTTGGCAATGTTAACATTATTAACTACATGAGAGAGTAAATGGCACATAAGACCTGGAAGGATAATCCGAAAACACAATTGATTTTTTACAGTAAAAGTCGAACGCGGGCGGTCTGCGTTTCCAAATAAGCAGCTTATCTGGATAAACACAAGTTATCCCAAACACACCTTATCTTGTCATATATATATATTTTGGTGCAGTCTTATCTTGTTTGAGTTCTTAACAAACTCTACATTTGTAAGTAACCCAGATCTCATTCACATTTTATGAAGTTTTTTATGACAGATATGAGTGATTTGAGGAGTACTCTTATGGCTTCGACGGTTCTTGAAGAATTAACTAGCACACATTCTTCTTCCATTCCGGACCATCGGGACTAGCTAGTAGTGTTTGGATCAAGGTAAATATGGATGGTACGCTTCTATCCAACCACTGCGCCGACACGGGCGCTATCCTTCTGGACGAGACTGAGGAGCTCGTTTGTGCCATGGGATAACAACTACAACATCAAGATGATGGATTTGTGGAACTTTAAGCTTACCTCTCCATTGTAGATATCATGCAACCTTGGATGTTGGAAGCCAGCAACATTATGGTGGAAGTTGGCAATGTTAACATTATTAACTACATGAGAGAGTAAATGGCACATAAGACCTGGAAGGATAATCCGAAAACATAATTGATTTTTTACAGTAAAAGTCGAACCCGGGCGGTCTGCGTTTCCAAATAAGCAGCTTATCTGGATAAACACAAGTTATCCCAAACACACCTTATCTTGTCATATATATATATATTTTGGTGCAGTCTTATCTTGTTTGAGTTCTTAACAAACTCTACATTTGTAAGTAACCCAGATCTCATTCACATTTTATGAAGTTTTTTATGACAGATATGAGTGATTTGAGGAGTACTCTTATGGCTTCGACGGTTCTTGAAGAATTAACTAGGACACATTCTTCTTCCATTCCGGACCATCGGGACTAGCTAGTAGTGTTTGGATCAAGGTAAATATGGATGGTACGCTTCTATCCAACCACTGCACCGGCACGGGCGCTGTTCTTCTGGACGAGACCAAGGAGCTCGTTTGTGCCATGGGATAACGACTATAACATCAAGATGATGGATTTGTGGAACTTTAAGCTTACCTCTCCATTGTAGATATCATGCAACCTTGGATGTTGGAAGCCAGCAACATTATGGTGGAAGTTGGCAATGTTAACATTATTAACTACATGAGAGAGTAAATGGCACATAAGACCTGGAAGGATAATCCGAAAACACAATTGATTTTTTACAGTAAAAGTCGAACGCGGGCGGTCTGCGTTTCCAAATAAGCAGCTTATTGGATAAACACAAGTTATCACAAACACACCTTATCTTGTCATATATATATATTTTGGTGCAGTCTTATCTTGTTTGAGTTCTTAACAAACTCTACATTTGTAAGTAACCCAGATCTCATTCACATTTTATGAAGTTTTTTATGACAGATATGAGTGATTTGAGGAGTACTCTTATGGCTTCGACGGTTCTTGAAAAATTAACTAGCACACATTCTTCTTCCATTCCGGACCATCGGGACTAGCTAGTAGTGTTTGGATCAAGGTAAATATGGATGGTCCGCTTCTATCCAACCACTGCGCCGGCACGGGCGCTGTCCTTCTGGACGAGACCGAGGAGCTCGTTTGTGCCATGGGATAACAACTACAACATCGAGATGATGGATTTGTGGAACTTTAAGCTTACCTCTCCATTGTAGATATCATGCTACCTTGGATGTTGGAAGCCAACAACATTATGATGGAAGTTGGCAATGTTAACATTATTAACTACATGAGAGAGTAAATGACACATAAGACCTGGAAGGATAATCCGGAGAAATGCCACACTATTGCCTTTTTTTATCATTTTTAAACTCCTTTTGGACAAATGTTATTTCATTTGTTATTAGCTGTAATTAATTATCTTTAGTGGACTTTTTTGCATATATATCTTAACACTTATATATATCCATTATATGTGGTTTGTTCTTTTCCCATGGGCCTAACTTCATGACAACCAAATTAACATAAAATATACCTGCCAATATCTTTACCTTGCATAAAATTTCAAAAAAAATAAAATAAAATAATTTAAATACTTATGTGAGACAAATAAATTTAAATTATAATTTTATTAATTTTTAATTTTAATTTAAGTGCACTTACGTACATTCCACACAATTCTTATATATTTGCATATCTTAAGCCCAAACTCTATTTTTTAACATAATCTTAAGCCAGGGATATTGAAGTATCTTTTGTCCTCTTTTGAATTATAGACAAATTAATACATCCATGCATTTGACTCTATTATCTGCCATTTTTTAGCAAATCTAAATATATAATTATTATTTTCAAACTCATAATTTTGTTATGTGTCATTGATATTAGCTATTATATTAAATATATTTATATTTAAATTTAATTAAAACTATTTTATGGTTGGCTATAGAATGCATCGAAAATATAAAATTAAATTATAGAAATAAAAAAAAAAAAATTTTTTAAAGACCTTATCGACATATTTCAGTGTGAGCTGCCAAGTGGACTGCATCCAGCAAGTTGCAAGCTGGACTACAGTGAGAGTTTTGTTTGTTTTTTTTAGTTACAATTAATGGTTTAAATATTATTTGTTCGATATAAATATTATTGATCAAATCTTTAGTGTTTCGAATGGCTCGGAACAGAGCATGTATTGCCAGATTGAACTCTACGAGAATAGAAATGACACCTAGAGGATGACCGAGCAATAATAGATGACTTGATTGGTAGACCGACGAACAACCAATCGACTTAATGGTCCACCGACCTGTTTCTGTAAAGGCCAGGAGGCGAGAAGATGACTTACATGATATTTATCAGCTACATCGCATGAAACTGATTGATTAGGGGCCAACCAATAAAATGGGTTCAAGGTGTTAACAGTCATTTCACTATAATTTTAGTCACCTATAAATAATAATCATTACAGATAAAATAAAAGATTATTCTATATGTAAAAATAAAACTATGCTTTTTAAAATAAAATTTTCATTTAGGGCCCTAAAAATTAAGGCATTAGACCAAATGAATTCGCATCAATTAGTTCACATGGGGTTTTGTTTGATAAAGGAATCAACTTTAATGTTATTAATTTTTTGGGCCCTATAAATTTTCATATTTATTTTTCATTCCCATCACTTCAAAAAACATAATTTTTTATCATGTTTATGTTTGAATAATTTAATATATCACTATTAACATTTAATTATTATCTTAAAAGGGGTGAAATATGAATTTGATATTTGATTCAAATCATAATTCATAAGAAATTGACAATTGTGCGTACATTTTTTAAATATAAGTAGATAAGAGTAAAAATATTTTTTCTAGAAAAATGATAATGAGATTGTGCTTGAATGGTCCATCTCAAAATATCAAATTAGGAGTCTTTTGTGTGACGTGACATAATTTTATTGGACTGTTAATGCATTTCTGTATCATAACTCCTGTTGAAATATACTTCCCTTGCTATGACGTCTAACTACTTTATAATATTAGATTTTATGCACTCGCGAGTTGCGAACGATGCAGGACTGTACGTCCTAAAAAATATTCAACAAAATACAAATAATTATTTTTAAAATAAGTTAGACATTTTTTTTAATAATTTGATTAGTGCTAAAAAAATCGCATTTCAAAGATAATTTTAATATTATTTTCTAATCCTATTATTCATTGCTTTATTTCTAATTAATATGATTATGACACAAATTCGAAGACCACTACTCGAAAGTCGGCCATTGGGACAATTTAATGGAGTAAAACCAGTTAGGGTTTACAAGTAGGTGGCAAATGTGTTGCAGGTTTCCCCATTAACCCGCAACAGTTGAGGTTTTCTTCTCGACCTGTGAAGTGTTTCTTGGTTTTGTTGATGAAGAATGCCAACCTTCCTTGCCTTGCCCATTGAGGCTTCTCGTAAGTTGGGGTTTCCTTCCAAACGGTTCGTGTTGTTTCCGTCCTCAAGCTTTCGCAGCTCGGACTTCTTCTCGATCCCTCTTTTATTAGAGGAATTGGGTTTTTTTCATCGGATTTTGAGGTTTTATTGGTTTATTCTGGGAAAATTTTCAGTTTGTAATGGAAGCTTACTTCTGAATTTTGATTTTTAAGAATGGGGTTTTTGTAGTGTTGCTACGCTTATCTAGCGATAACTGGTGTTTTACTTCCTAGCAGCAGGGATTTCATTAACGCTTTGATAGTTTTCTTTTGGAGCGTGCTATAGCTACCATTGGCGGTAGTTTTTCCATCAGGTTTTGAGAAATTCTAGTAAATTGGCTGATTATTGATTTCTTAGGATGTATTTGAAGCCTAGTTAAAATCTGATTCTTGCTCAGTTTGTTATTGCACGCGCATTTCCTTTAAACTTGGATTAGATCTGGTTGTGTTTTGTGTTTTCATCTAGGTTCTTTGCAGTTTAAAATCTCGATTACTACTTGTATAATGGCAGACGAGTGGTTGCTTGACGAAAATTTAGCAGAAAATGCATGACACTATTGCCTTATTAGTTCTCCTTAGTTAGGGAGACGTTGTTAGTTTCAGCGCAATTCTGTAGGCGCTCTGCACTTTGTTTTCTTCAATCTCTGACATAAATTCCATTATTTTTGAATTTGTAAATGTCAGTCTTGTTATAGTTTGATGCCTCCATGTTTTATGGTGTTTGTGTCTGTATCAATATGCTTATGTGTAATGTAAGTTTCCATTCTTCTTACTTTTGAAATCTTGTTGATTTGCTTTGCTAATTTAATTTTCAATAAATGATTAAGTTCAATCCAATTAGTGCAGTTTATGAGATGATTTCCCTTTCCATATGCTCCGATTCATTTGACTATGGTGTTTATGGCCGATTCTTTTTTTTTGTAATACTGATGGATTCTAATTTTGAACCAACGTATCCTTTTTTGCCTCCCTTCCCCTGCCATTTACTTACTTTCTCTTAAAATTGACTGACTTGGTACTGATTTCTGAGTAGCTGAGAGGTTTGGCAGTGATAAACTCAACTAAAAGTTTTATAATCATGAATCATAGATTCAGAAAATATATTGATTTTGTTATATATTTATTTATAAGAAGATTTACATATATACCACTCATGTCTTATGTATTTACATATCTAACACCCAAGCTTGAATTTTTACTTACATACCTTATGCATGAAAAGGTGCATTTCACTTTTTTAAAAGTTAAAATGGTGGTATTTTTGATGTGATATGAGAGATTTGGGTGGGATAAAAGTAAAATTCAAAGTTTAGGTGCTGTATATGAAAATACATAAAAATTGGGTGGCATGTATGTAAATGCTCCTTATTTATATTGTGTACGCGTGGATTGCTTCCCTGATATTATACGCCCCATCAAATTAGTTTTCTTTCTGATACATTCTTCTTTTATTTTCTTGTAGTCTTACACGTAGTGAGAATCACTTTCTCTTCAGCTGGGAAAGAAAACTGGTAATCACCAGTGCTTTTCTGAGCAACCATGTCTGAGCAACAAGAATATGCTCGTGAAAGCCCCAGCTCAAGCCAGGACTGTGAGCATGAGATGACCATTGGCCGAATCCTATCCGATGAAAATCACAAAATTGATAGACGTCTTGCAAAGCGTTTATCTCATTTAAATTCTATCACTGTATGATTCTCTGCTTGTAGCCAAAACTTAATATAAAATAATGTTAAATTCTTATTGTTGCAGGCTTTTATGATAACAATGCTTCAGCTATCTCATGTTGAGTTGATTAATGGCAAAGCATTCCTATGTTCTTAGGGGTCGTTTGGGATCATTTTTAGTTTTAGTTTTTATTTGTATTTTTGTTTTGTTCATATTTTACTTAAAATGAAACATATTTAGTTTGTCATAACATTGATTGCTGTTTTTAAAAATACTCAAAATAATTTTTAAAAACAAACTAATTTGTTTTTGAAAACAAAAAATAAAAGCATGTGAAAATGCACTAACAAACATGCTTTTAAAATAAAAGAAAAAATGTTGATCCTAACAAGCTCTTGGTTTTTTATTTTCCTTTTACATTACTTTCAAGCTGTATTTGTTTTTTTTTTTTTTTGCCATCACAATCATGGTATATTTGTCTTCATATGCATCCTTTTGTTTGTGTTTTAACGTCTTCCTAACCTTTCATTTAGGGTAAATACTTTAGCACTTGAGCATTCCAGAAAACCCTCCTCTTCCTCTTCTTAATGAACCCTAATTCGACTTTTTTTAATGCCATTAATTCTTGACATACAACCTCCAAAAATAAGGAATTGCGGCTTATCATGACTGTCATCCATAGGTTACAAATTCTTTAATATATGTGTAAATACTCACAGGCATTCTAATGCACAAATAGTTATGGCCAAAGTTTTGAGAATTATGGAAATACAAAGAATGGTAATGTACTCATTTGATACCAGTGGATTTTTTTTTTTAAAATTTATAAGCAATAATATAGTTTAAATGGGAAATCCTGTTATATTTCATTACTTTGCTATTAATAGTTGCAAAAAATTAATGAAAAATAACCATTGTTTGATGCCACTCTAGCTAAAATGGAGTGGATCCCATGACTAAGACATTTGAAAAACATTATATTTCAAGTTAGTTTGTTAGGGAGTTGGACCAAACATAAGGTGGATTGTAAGCAAAACATTGATTTTAATCATTTGATTAAATTTGTTGTCAAGCGATTTTAGCAACTTTATAGTAGTAAATCCACTAATATTAAAGATAAGTGGGTGAGATAACATTTTGAGCTTTATATTTAAGCTAGCATTCTTATTGCAATTGCGACGCAACACTTTTGACATCACTTTTTAAAAAGTAATCCCTTCTTTTGTCATACTTTTTCTATCAAATACAATATTTGTGTTCAGGAAAACAAGTATTTGCAAATAAATATTTCTTTGTGCTATTTATGGATTTTTTAATGTCTGTTATACTTTAGGCCATCATAGGTGATTCAACTTTATTGTGTTCTTCTGCTTGATTATGAAATTTTATGCTTTATTTGTACCGTTCCAGTATTTTCTTATTATCAATACTGATATGTAGAGATTGAAAGTTTTCAGCTCACTCCTCGAGTTAATGGAGAAATCCCAGACGTTAATAATGCAACCTTGGACCATGAGAGGCTCTCAGATAGGTAATGGAATTTTAGTTGATTATTTTTTTCCTTCACATTGGACTTTTAGCTCTTATTGATATTACACATTAGAGAATTTAGTGTGCATAGCAGCACAACTTAATTACGGTATATGTGCAAATAGCATCTCTAGTGGGGCAAGATGCGGAATGTAATCTTCAGTTGTACTTGCAAAATCCAGTTTGCAATAGAGTAGTTAGTTTGAATAAATTTCTTTGATGATGAGGTTCTGTAAAAGGCGCGGTTAAAAGACAATTGGAGAGAGGTTGCTACATTTTTTTTTGGAACTGCAGAAAAGTTAATTAACATGATAATTTTTGAAATTCTAGAGTGATTTTTTTTCAATGGTTTCATTTTATAATTACTAAGAACTCAAAGGATAGTGTAACCTTTATCGATTTGTTTTTACCAAGTTGATTGGCCTATTTTCACTGCATAAATTTCATCTTTTTTTGTATTTTGGAATCGCTCATCAGTTTTAAAAATTGGAACATTGAACTTAAGATTACTAGATTTCATGAGAATTGTAACAAGCGACCTTTGAGGGGAGTACCAATTGGTTGATGTTCCTGCAAAAGCTTGTTTGTGGAAGATTTGATATACCTATATGTTACAATGGAGATGGTATGTTATGTGACTTTAAGATATAGTCTATTTTTTGTTTGATGATCCTTGAAATTGCATTGTCCTTTGGATGACCATCACAGTCATTACATGACTTATGATTGAATTAATCCAATAGAAACCCCTACATATCTCGGGGATGAGGCGCTTGGGAATGAATAATTGATTGTATTGCTTGTTTTTTTTTTCACCTAATTTATTTAACTCTTGGCATTTTGTCATATTGGAGTTTGAATGTAGTTTTGGAATGACTTTATTTACATTTTATATATTTATGCTTTGAAAATATTTCTATATAATTTTATTCAGTTTGGTGGGAGTGATGTAAATTTTTTTTAAAATTTTCTATATTTATTATTCTTTAAGCATGTTCTATTTTATTTTATTTTAAGATAGTTGAGAGGATAAATTAAAAAAGAAAGATTGAGAAAAATCATATCAATGGAATGGCGAGAGTAGCATCTATTAAAGATAAGATTGTGAAAAATTTACAAATAGCTTAACAAATTATTGCATTATGCTAGTCAGTCATGGGAGACGGCCATCAATATTCACAAATAAAGGCTGACAGCTTTGTGGATAGAGGTCAATTGAACAAGAGGTTTGGTTTAAAAAAGAGTAGATAAGTCTGATTTGCTGATTTGCATGGAGTTGGAAATTAGAGAGATAGGATCATTATCTATTCGAAGACTAGAGATAGAGAAGGAGAGTAAGCAAGCAAGCTGTATAGAGATTTGACTTAGAGGAGTTATTGTGTATGTGGATTTTTGCATGTGATGCATGGCAAGGAAGGGATTTAAGATTGTGTGAATGGATTAAAGAGATGTTCCAAATGAGTATTAGCAGCAGTCTTGAAGGAGGGAGGGCGGGATGGTGGCATGTTAGTTGTTTAACAGAGAGGAGGGTTCACTTGTGAGCGGGTAAGCGAGAAATAGGGAGTAGGTAGCATGAGGAAACTAATCGAGAGGATGAGAATGGGAGAGGAAGAGTGGTGTTGGATCAATACTCTGATATTATGAAAAAAAAAATTGGCTACAGCTTTATTTAACTAATTCTGATGCTACTACAAGTCTACAAGCATGCTTATACATACATACATACATATATATATATATATATATATAT